CACAGAGTAACATAAAACATAAAAATACCTTACTACTTTTGCCAACATGGTCTTGCCTCATCTGAAGTTGACAAGACAACGTATTGTTTTTATTCCACTACAATGACTACCTTAGAAAACATATAGCTAAATTAAGCCAGATTTACTGTTTATATGTGCTTAAAACGTGCATGCTGAGGACATCTACTGGTTGAAGTTTTGTAAATGCAACAAGAACAAGAAAAACTGACAGTGTTCGTTCACTGGTGTGGACGCAAATATAGTTATCGTTGTATTTATAGTTATCGTTATCGTTCTTGGTGTGAACGGACCTTTAGAACAGTATTTGTGATCCAATAAATGCAGCCTAGGTGAGCAAAACTCTTCAAATACATAAAAAAATCTTACCGACCGCAAACTTCTTCCTCTAAAGCTCGAGACACACTGTATGATTTTTGGCTGTCCCAGATGAAAGATTGGTATCGTGAAACAATCCTTGCGATTTCTGTGATCGTGGCTCCTAATCTGTGGTCCTCTGCCGTACAGTGAGAGAGGTTCAAAGATGGCCATTGTCACGGCCTTACGACCAAAGATAGCCAACGATCATTTTCTGATAGTGTCAGATATATAGCATGACCATCACACAGTGTGTTTGCTGCCACGACCCAAGTTTACTGATAAAACTGCTTAGCTCAAGCTCTTATTCCTTCCTCTTTTGCCGCCTTTCACCACTAGAAGCGTCACTGTGCACCGATCATTGTATGACACCAAAGTTCCACGAGAGCGAATCGAAAGCATAAGGAGCCGTCTGCTCTGCTCTCTATAGCTCTCGTGAATGTCATATAATGATCGATCTGCCCAGTGCAAACAGCCAAACCCTGGATATTTTAGGCAATATAGAAATCCTGGCAAGGACGTGTCCCGTAAAAATGGCCCGTATGGTCACCCTATCAATAGATGTCATCATCGTACAGTCGCACAGTGTGACATGCAATGATCTTATAGGATTGCTAAAATTGTGCAGTGTGTGTCTTGGGCTTAAAATGCATCAATTTGTTCCTTCAGGTCAGAGTCACAGCCCTCCGACGCCCCCTACCACTCCTAAGACGGAAATGCAAGGCGGTAAATCCGGTGAGGGGAAGCGTGAGGGTGGAGCCTCCAGGAGTGGTTTGGGGGTGGGAGCAGACGGAAGCTCCGCCTCCTCATCCACCAGCGGAAAACCGCACATCGATTTCGGAAATGTGGACATTGGAGAGATCAGCCATGATGTAATGGCCAATATGGAGCCTTTTGACGTGAACGAGTTCGACCAGTATCTGCCGCCCAACGGGCATCCGCAGTCGTCGAGTGGCACCAGCGCCGGGTCTTCGGCTTCGCCGTACACTTATGGCATCTCCAGTGCATTGGCGGCCGCTAGCGGTCACTCCACCGCCTGGCTTTCCAAGCAGCAGCTGCCATCCCAGCAGCACTTGGGATCAGATGGTGGGAAAACGCAGATTAAGAGTGAGACGCACTTCTCCAGTGATGCAGCGGCTGTGGCGAGTGGGTCGCATGTCACCTACCTGCCACACTACAGTGCTGCCTTCCCCTCGCTGGCGTCCCGTGCGCAGTTTGCCGAATATGCCGAGCACCAGGCATCCGGCTCGTACTATGCCCACTCTAGCCAGACTTCTGGCCTCTACTCCGCCTTCTCCTACATGGGCCCTTCGCAGAGGCCCCTGTACACTGCCATTCCAGATCCCGGCTCCGTGCCGCAGTCGCACAGCCCAACGCACTGGGAGCAGCCTGTATACACCACCTTATCTCGACCGTGACACGACATTCTGGTTTCGTATCCAGTCGCTGAAGGGTCCAACAGAAGTGTGACTGAAAATCATGACAAACGCTCACCTGCACCACAGTCTACACAGACAGAAATCTGAGAGAAACTTGTGTGTGGAGATCTGCAGGGAACATATTCTCACATGCCTCAGGCTGATAAAACCTTCACAACCCGTCACAGATTCACTCAATGCTAGATGACATGAAGGAGGCAGAAATTTGACACCAGTGGTCCTTCATGAGACATATTACCAAAGTTCTGAGACCAAAACATTACAAAAATCCAACAAAAATTGGTGCAGTTTCTGAACTCTGTTTGGTTTGGCAGCAACACTCAAACCATACATCGACCCGCTCAACTTCACTCAAATATACATACACACAAACAAACTTACAACCTTACAAACTTACAAACGCCTAACGCAATTATCTGTACATCCATGTGTTTTTTTATTTTATTTGTATGAATGAATAATCTCTTTTTATTAACCAAAATAAGGCCATATTGTTTTTATCAATAAATAATGACGTGTTTTCGTTGTTGTAATATTTTCTATTGTAGTTACTCTTGTTATTTGTGTTGCCATAACTACACTGAAAAGTCTTCACCACTGTCTAGTGTTTGTTAATGACATCTGTGTTTCATGACTTTCAGTGTGTGTAAATATCAGTGACAGGACTCGATAATTACGCGTTTTTACCTATTACTCCAAACACACAGGCGGAGTACTGTAATGCAATGTTTCCGTCACATCGAAATTAGCCTAATTTCGAGTTTCCGGTATATAAATTACCTTTTTTAGATAACACCGCTAGTGCCTCAGTCCATCGGCTACGGTTCGTCATCGCTGAAAAATTCGAATTAAATCACACAGATCTATTTTCAGGGCGCGAACTTTATCAGCCGTTAGCCAATAGGAATATTTTTATGCCCACGTGACAATGTAATTCACAATTTTGAAAGAGCGCCGTTTTGTATTTTGTGGAAATAATGTCCGTTTCATAACATTGCCCAGTTCAAGATTTTTTTTTTTTTTAATGAGAATTAAAACATTGCGGTATTATTTCGTAAAGACAGTCTGCTACTGTAAACTTTGTTTAGTTATTCGACGTTTTCTTCCCTTTGGTACTTTTATAGTTTTCGCCCTCTTTATTAGTATTATTCAGAAACAGCAAACAAACAGCTTTCTTGTTATATATTACAGAATATTATTTATATTTGTTGTTTTTGTTCGTTTTTTTTATCAGTAGCATTTTATTCTGATGTTGGCAACTTTGTGTAATTTTGTGGTGGGTAAAAGTGTTGTTGTTTTTCTTTATCAGTGTAAATAGAAGAGAGCAGTGACTAACTTCCCTCACTTTAAATAAAGCTGCAGTCTGTACAAATGCGTACTCGTCTTCTTACACACTTACCTGAATATTAATTTTCTTCTTCCTCTTCCTTTTTTTTCTTATCTTCTCCACCTGTAAGATCAGGACAAATCATGTCAGTTTTAAGTGACACATATTTAATACTCAATAAATTACTGACTTTGTTCAGATTAGCACACTACAAAAGTAGGCTATTATTTATTACACTGAAAAAAAAATGTTTCATTCATCCAATTAAAAAAAATTAGGGTAATGATTCACATCCATATTTTTTAACTTGGGCCAATGAAAAATAAATTACTTGCCCTTAGGGGCAAGTCATTTAGAAATTGGTAGTAAATTCAAATCTCACTCAAATAATTACAAAGGCAAGTAGCACATTAAACGTAAAATTTTTAAGTTAAAAGTTTGAATTAATTTCTTCAAAAGAGTTCAATAATGTTTTTATGGTGTATTTAATAGATATTACCCATGTATTTCAGCAGAATACAGTAGCCTATGTATACAATATATTCCTTTTCTACATTTAAGACATGTCAAACTGCATGCTGTATATAATAATGCAGTATGCTTGATTTGATATATTTCCATATGCAACAAACTGAAGTCATGTGACAGCAATATAGTGTATAGGTGACTTCACAAAGTACAACATGTTCCTGGATCAACATCCTTGTTAATCCTGGAACAACATTCCAATTAACCAATCAGAATTGAGGGATAACTTTTCAGGAAATGCCTATTTTAGGCTTACAATCGGTTAGGTGCTTCTACACCCTTGTTAATCAGCTATCATTTCACACTGATTTTAGGAATAAATTATGGGTAGGGTTAGGTTTAGGGGTAGGGATTGGGTTTAGTCTATATTTTTGGACAGTAATGTTGATCATGGAACATGGAACATGTCTTACTTGGCAAAATCACGGCGACCATAGTGTATAGCAAGTATGTGTACATGCATTATGCTAGTATTCCATTCTAAACAAATTCAGCGTGAGCTTGTAGGTTTATTCTGATTGGCTGAAACCAATATCATGACAGCACACATCTCAAATACCTCTGCATTTCTGCATTAACAGTGTGTGTGTGTGCATGAATGCTGTCCTGCATGTGTGCATGTGTGTGTGTGTGTGTGTGTGTGTGTGTGTGTGTGTGTGTGTCAGGTCTCACTGCAACAGGATTTGGACATTCCTAAACAGTGTGCATGAAAGAGAGAGACAGTGTGCAGTTAGATGAGTGCAAACCAGAATCTCGAAACATGTTTAATTTTCTGCTTTTGTATCATCATACGATTGTGACTCCATGAGTCACGAGGACAAAATTAATTTCCCATAAGCCATTGCAAATGTGTGCTCAGAAGTGAATCTGAGCTTATTATTTACTGGCTGAAATGAAATCCAGTTACATGAAGGATGTGGAAACAACATAACTGTATGTGATCTTTTTATAACATGTATCCAGCAATGACGTTTCTCTTTCCATTTCCAGATTTCCAGTGTGAGGAATGAACTGCAGTGACATCTAACACAAATTTAAACCACTTTTTAGACTTGATGTGGGATGATAATATAAAATAACTAATTAAACAAGCAACTTATTGAGGCTGTGTAATATAGTGTACTACTCTTTGAAACAAAGTTTATTGTTGGGTACTGCATACTAATTCACAAACTGTTTTTTAATAATATGCAGTATGCTAGTATTCCATTCGGAACAGTCACTGTTTACATGCATTAATCTCCACCCAAACGCCTCAAAAGGCTGATTCAGACACTTTACAGCGCAAACAATGGCTGCATCCGATATCACTTATTACCTTATAGTAGGTGAAAAACAATGTGTCCGAATTCTTGCTCTGCATCTCAATGTTCATACTATACATCCTAAATAGTAGGTGAGATTACAATAAGTGTGTCCCAAACCATTGCATGTTGAAAAGAGTAGGCCAAAAGTCCCCGGATGGTCTACTATTTTGGGTAGATGTTTGAAGTGTGATCCATGCACACTGTAATGGTTAATATTGTCCACAATCCATTGCGCTTTGGCAAAGGATTTGATTCAGAACTACAAACATTAATAAAAAGTGTTATAAAAAACTACAAACATGGCGGATGTGCGCGACCAAAAGTAGAGAGGTTTGAGTTACTATCCTGGTGAAGAAAAAAAAAGTATATTTAATATTATCTGTGTTATATTTCATCTGCAACAATAATTTGAACTTCTATCTAATTGTGTGACGTGATAATACTTCCCAAAACTTGCCTATTCTAATACACACTCAAAAGTATGTACTTTTTCCTTTACCAAAATAGAATACTTTAAGGGCGTAATATAAGTAGTATAAATTGGGACGCAGCATAAGTATCTACTTCTGGAAAGATTCTGAAGCGCACATTCGATGGACACTTTACTATCCCATGAGGCCACGTAGTTCATATTTTAAAAAAGTAGCTTATTATTTCATTTAATATTTCTACGAGTGATTTCATTTGATTGTTAATAGCCAACTTTTTTTTTTTTTGATTGGGTTTATTGATTACATTTAAGAATCTGACATTAGAAGACAGATATGACAATACATTTTTTATAATACTAATGCATCACTGGCTTTTTTGTTTGTTTGTTTACTCAGTGTTATTTCAGGGTTTTGATCTCTCAACTGAGAGAACACGTTGTTTGTTGTATTATAATGACTATTTAATATTAGGCTACATCTAAAATTTGACTAGGCTAGACATGTTGCATATTAATTGTATATGAACCTGAAAGAATATTTAAATTTTTGTGTATTTTATGTTACTTCATAATAATATTCTAGTTGAGGGCATTTGTAGTGTATAGGGTGAATTCGGGTAATCTGGGACACCTAAGCTCCAGTGTGTTTTTCCTGTTCTAACAAAATTTAGTCAATAGGACTTTTATTATAATTTTAGCATGGAAGTCATGTGACTGAAATTGGGGTGATTCCACAGAAAGGGGCGGGGCACTTGTCAATCAAGAAGCTC